GGGGGGGGTGTTGAGGAGATGTGTTCCTTGATGATCGTACTGCTGATTCGGAATTTGAAAGTTTTTGGTTTAAATCCTGCTGTCAAATGTTACTAACACTTTTCCCGTTACTTATTCTAGGTGTCCCCCTCCCCCATCCCCACCCCTCTTTCGAACACACGTACACGCACAAACAGACTCAAATACACCTACACACATACACTCGTACACACATACACGCACACACCTCCCCCCTCCATTTATTTCTAATAAATAATGGCTGTGTAGGAATTTCTCTATTTGATACCTTCCCTTAACTGTGTAAGCTCACTATAATGGCTTGGCTAAATTTTTTTTTATTGTAGCTGTTTTTGCACCTCTATTAACACATTTTAGATTATTTAGGAGGCGGGCTTCCGACCAGGGCTGAGAGGGATACAACATTCCATCGAAAAAAAAAACCGAACCGAAACACTCGATAAATTTCTCCCCATTTGGGAATCAAACTGCGTTTTCCTGTGTTCAGATGTGAAGCACCTAACTCCTATATCACAGGCGCCGGTTGGCTCGACTGAATTTAAAAAAAAAAAAAATAATAATCAAGGCTGTTGTAAGTTATTTTTAGTCATACACACTCAATCAAAACTAGACCGTTATGTTGTAGCAGATGAAAACACCGATAGCTTAGAAGATCTGAGAATCGACAATTAACAAGAGTACTTCACAGAAACCACTCGCAAACCACATGTCAAAAGAGCAGAAGAACAGCGAATGAAAAGGAAAATATTAATAGAATTAATGGGAGATGTACAAAAGAAAATCTTTTTAAGCGAACCTTCCGTTTCTCGTTTCTGGCCCTTTCAAAATCCCCATCCCCCCAGTTCCCACCCACAAAACAAAACGATAGCAAGCACCCCCCCCCCCTTTAGAAAAACTCAAACCCTTCAAACAATGAAAAAAAAACTCCCGCAGTTAAACAAAGTACATCCGGGAAAACAAACCAATAAACAATATGGCCAAAAAAGAGCTAGTGATTGCAAACAAAATAAGAACAAAATACCCCCCCCCCAAGAAATAGCAACAACAATACGACAGCAAACAAACTTGTAAGAACCCTTCCAAACAATTAAAAAAAAAATTTGAACAAAGGACACCCAGGAAAACAAATCTAAAAAAAAAAATACAGCTTAGAAAAAGGGAAAGATAGCAAAAACAGCAAAAAAACAACAACCCAACAGAAAACAAGAAACAAGAAAACAACACCGAAAATGGAAGACAATAAAAAAAACCCCCCCCCCCGAAATAACCAAGCACAAAACAAATCACACACCCTCTCTTTTATTACTATTGTTATTGTCATTGTTACTGTTGTCATGATCATTATTACCATTATTATTATATGATGATGATGATGATGATGATGATGATGATGATGATAATGATGATGATGATGATTATAATGATGATGGTTACTACTACTACTACTACTACTACTACTACTACTACTACTACTACTACTACTA